TGAAAAAAAAAAAAAAATACACAATTATTTTGAGACAACACAGAACCATGATTCTCAGGAGTAGGGAAACTCAGGAGATAAAACCTACAATTAACTCAGCTTTCTGCTCATAGACACTTTTCAGATCATGATGCAGAAAAGAATTGAGACAAGATCAAAGTTTGGACTTTGATCTTATTGTTGTTGTTGTTGCTAAGTGCCACTGAGGCAGTGCCAACCCGTAGCGACCCAGTTTAAAGTTTCTGAGGAGCGGCTAGTGAGCTTGAACCGTCAACCATGTAGTTCAAACTGACTTTGCAGCCCCGCAAATTAAACCACAGCACCACACTAGTAATCCTTGGAGAACTGAAACAGCTAGAATTTGTGGTGTGGAGTACCAAGCAAGAAGATATTCTGCAAAGAATCTCTGGATATGTGAAACCTGGATGGTTCAAAGAGTTAACCCTCTCAGCTGCTAGCTGACATTTTAGTCCACCCAGAGGGGTCGTGAAAGAAAGGTGTGGTTATCTGATTCATCAGCCATCAAAACCCTATGGGGCACAGTTCTTCCCTGGGCTGGGGTCACCAAAAGTTGTAATTAACTCAAAAGCAACTGGTTTGCTTCTGGTGTGGAATAAAAGGCCAAGCATGTTTAGTATAAAAGAACACTAAACCAGGCAAAGACCAACTGATGGCTTGTAAGCTAAAACATCTCCAGAGTGTACGCAGGGCTGATGTTCGTGTTCTGACACACGTAACCAAGTAGAAATGCCAGGGGTAAGGAATCAGCAGCAAGAATTCTAAATCAGCTATTATAATGATTCCTGATGATTTAAAGGAAAACAGGAGTATAAGGAGACAAGAAATGGGGATGAAAAAAATGCTCACGTGGAACTTTCAAGAGCTAAAAAACAGTATCTGGATGGCTTTGTTGTTGTTAAGTGCCATCGAGTCGGTTCTGACCCATAGCGACCCTGTACAGGGTTTTCAAGGGTGTAAATCTTTACGGGAGTAGAAAGCCTCATCTTTCTCCCGCGGAGCGGCTGGTAGTTTCAAACCGCTGACCTTAAGGTTAGCAGTCCGATTCGTAACCACTACGCTACCTACCAGAGCTCTCTATATCTGGATGGCTTTAACAGATGATTAATCACTGGAAATGAAGATCAGTGAGCTTGAAAATGTAGCAAACTAAGCTGTTCAAACTAAAGTATAGAGAGACAAGACGGATAAAATCAATCAAAACTTAGTGACCTGCAGAACAGTAATAAGTAATGTAATATCCCTGGAGGAGAATAGCATAAGAAATATGGCTGAATTTTTTCCCAGTTTGATGAAAGTTGTAAGTCCACAGGCCAAAGAAGCTCAAAAAACCACTAGTAGGATAAGCTCAAAGGAACCATGCCAAGGTACATCATAATCAAACTGCTAAAACCAGGGATAAATAGAAATACCTTTAAAGCAACCAGAGGCACAAGGATATAGTACGTACAGGAAGACATATATAAGAATTACCACCGACTTCTTGTCAGGGACCAAAGGCATGCCAGAAGACAATGAGATGATGTCTTCAAAGTATTCAAAGGAAGAAACTTTCTAAAAATAGAGGATATTTCCTTACTCATATCATGAAGTCAGCATTGTTCTGAGAGCAAAACCACAAAAAGGTATTATAAGAAAAGAAAACCACAGACCAAATAAAAATTCAACGCACAAATACAAAGAATTAACCTGAAATAGATCATATATCTTAAATATAAAATGAAAACTATAAAATTTCTTGGAGAAAAATCTCTGCAATTTTGGGGTAAGCAAAAACGTCTTAGGCAATGCACAGCGGTCCTTAAACCATAAAAATAATTATAAATTACACTACATCAATATTAAACTCTCTAGTCTTTGAATAACAAAAAGGTAGGCCAGAAAGCAGCAGAAAATATTAGCCATGCATACATATATCTGACAAATAACTTGTATCAAGAATATGTAAAGGATTATGAATCAATAAACAAGAAAAAAATGCTTTTAAATGGACAAAATATTTGCTAAGGCATTACACAAAAGATAGATGCTGAAGAGCAATAAGAAAGAAAATGCATTATGAAAAAGGAAAAAAAAGAACAGGAAAAAACCCACAAACCTATGGAGCAGTTGTATTCTACACACACGGGGTCTCCATGAGTTGGATCCACTCTAGGGCAAATAGCAAGTCTAACTTTGCATCATCTCATTTTCTAGAGTTTTAATGGTGGTGTTTATTTTTGTTTGTTTTCTATGAAAATGGTGAGGAAAGTATCTTCCTGGTGGTGGTGTTAGGTGCTGTCGAGCTGGTTTCAACTCGTAGCAACCTTATGCACAACAGAACGAAACACTGCCTGTCCTGCGCCATGCTCACAATTGTTAAGCTTGAGCCCCTTGCAGCTACCACTGTGTCAATCTTCCTGCCACATAGTAAATGTTTATTTTTGCTGTATGAAATATATATATATTTTTTCCTTTGATCTCCAGTAGTAACATAAGGAAGTCATCCTATCTTACATTGTACAGAGCTTGCTTAAGGATTTTTAACTGCAAAATTATATGAAGTTTTGACATTTGAAGAAATATATATTTTAAAGAAAATATCTGAATATCTAATAGCACATGAAAAGATGTTTTAAGACCATGATTAACAGATACCAGCAAACACACTGTGAGAGCTTAGTCAAGAATCACATATAGACATAACCCGAGATACATTTTTCTTTGGTCCATTCCTGCAAAAGCTGCAGGCCCCACCTTCATGTTTACGCTCCCTAATAACAATACCCAAACCACAGTCATCAAGTCAATTCCGACTCATAGTGACCCTGTCAGAAGGACAGAGTAGAACTGCTCCTTACGAGTTTCTGAGGCTGTAAATCTTTACAGAAGCAGAGCGCATCCTCATCTTTCTCCCTCAAGAGTGGCTGGTGGGTTTGAACCACTGACCTTGCAGTTAACAACCAATACTTAATGCACCGTACCACCAGGGATCCTTCCTGGTAACAATAGCTGGTATTTACTGAGATAGAGATTTTATTGAGATAGGTATTTTACTGAGATAGAATGGAGTCCTGATGTGGCACTGTGGGTTAATGTGCTGGACTGCAAGGTCAGTTTGAACCGCAGGGTGGTTACTTCAAGCTCACCAGATGTTCCTTGGAAACCCTATACAGGGTCGCTATGGGTCAGAAACGACTCAACAGCACTTAACAACAACTGAGATAGATTCGCTCTTCGGATATCCTATACAGGGTCGCGATGCATCGGAACTGACTTGATCATGTTTGTGCAAGCACTTCATTTGATTGTCTTGCTGAATCTCACATTATCAGACAATGGGATAGGAGCTACAGCACCACACCAGGTTACTCAGCTACTATGTGGTAAGACAAGCAGTTAAATTGAGACAGCTTATCTCTGGAGGCCATTGAATCATAGTGCAGTGCTGACGTTGGAACACCATGGTGCCTCTGCATTTCAAACCATATTGAAATGCTTTGTGGAGTGTCAAGGAAATGAAAAACCTCACTGATGAGGTTTCAAGAAGAAGGCAATGTGGTCAGATTGCATTTCCCCTCAGTTTGCAGAGATAATAGGCCGCTAACAAAGACTTTTTTTTTTTTTTTTTTGCCATGGAGATTGAATACAGTTGCTATACAAGAGTCCACAAAACCAGAAAATAATGGAAACTAACAACTAATGGAAATTTCAGAAGAATTTTTTGGTTTTGCTGTTCTCTTTTTTGTGTGTTTGTTTAAAGTGCTGAATACACTCCAATGCATGGTGACCCATGTGTATCAGAACGGAATTGTTCTTCATAGGTTTTCAGTAGTCAGTGTTTTAGACTTGGTGGTGGAGGTGGCGGCGGCTATGTAGTCGGTTCCAACTTAGAGTGACCTACATAGGGTTGGTGGTGATATGCCCTGGAGTTGGTTCCAACTCATAGAGGCCCTGTATAGGGTTTCCAAGGCTGTAAATCTTTACAGGAACAGAAAGCCTCATCTTTATCCCTCAGAACAGCTGGTAGTCTCAAACTGCTGACTTGAGGTTAGCTATCTGACTCGTAACCACTACGCTACCAGAGCTCCTTGTTTTAGACACAGATAGTGAGATTTTTCTTGAGGTGCCTCTGGGTAGATGCAAATTTTCAACCTTCATGTTAGCAGCCAAGTGTGTTAACTGTTTGCAGCACCTGGGAGCTTCAAGGAAACTTTGGGTACACTATGGCACTATGATAGAATTCAGGGACCCTGGCAGCACGATGGCTAAGCACTCTGTTTTGTCCACCCCACCACCACCCCCAGCCAGTCTATGGGACAAACGACCTGATGATGGACTCCCGTAAAGATTAAAGCATGAGGAACCCTGTGGGACAGTTGTATTTATCCTATAAGGGCGCTATGAGTTGGACGACATAGGACAACAACCTTCTTGTTAGCTGCCATCGAGTTGACTTCCAACTCATGGTGTATGGTGTAGACTATTTTTTTTAGACCAATTGAGTGGTGCATAGTCCATAGGCAACTCAACACTTGCTGAGTGTCTGTTCCATCCTAAGCATTATCTCACATAATCCTCAGAATAACCCCATCTTAGATATAAGGACACTGAGGCTAAGAGAGGCTAAGTAACTTACAGCGCACCCATGAGAACGTTTGGGATTCCAACCAATATCTACTTGGTTCCAAAGTTGGTGTGCCTGGCTGCTTCCCATAAAAGTCTGCCAATGAACTTATGCACTGTTGTTCATGATGCACGCATCAGCACATGCAACAGATTTTATTCTTTTGCCGACACAGATTTGAAAGTCTGGTTGACAGTTGGCTACTGAAACTCAAGTGTCCGTTGAAGAAGCAATATTATCTACAGTTGTTGCTCCCTTTCCTTTCTCTTTGAAATAAAGATTCAGCTGTGGGACTGATTACCCAGACCCGCTTCTGAAGATTGTAAGACATTCAGTCAGGCAGAGCCAATTGGGGTTGATTTCTTTTGTTCAACAGCTGCAGAACCAGGAGCTGCTGAGGGCAATGATGAAGAAGGCTGAGTTGGAAATCAGCAGCAAAGTGATGGAAACGATGAGGAGGCTGGAGGACCCTGTGCAGAGGCAGCGCATCCTGGTGGAGCAAGAGAGACAGAAGTACCTTCACGAAGAGGAGACGATAGTCAAGAAGCTGTGGTGAGTGCCAATCTTCTTGTGCATGTTTAGATGTCTTAACTTGAAAAGGAATATCTCCTCTGCCAACTGGGAGGCCCTCCCTAGTTAGTATTCTCTGTCTCACACTCGGTTCTCTAAGGTGAGCAAAATCAGTAAAGTGTGTGTATAAATTTAGTGTTCCAACTCACCAGCTGCTCCTCAGAAACTCTATACAGGTTCGCTGTGAGTTGGAAAAAACAGCATTTAACAACAACAACATGTATCTATATTATATACATATATGTGTGTGTGTTGCTGTTCTTGTTAAGTGCTGTCGAGTCAGTTCTGACCCATAGCGAACCTGTATAGGGTTTCCTAGGTGCAGCTGGTGAGCTTGAATCACCGACCTTGCAGTTCAAATGGACCTTGCAGTCCAGCACATTAACCCACAGCACCAAATGTAGAGAGTTATTTCAGAGAAATGGCTCACGCAGTTGTGAAGGCTGGTAAGCCTCAAATCAGTAGGTCAGGCTTCAAGCTGGAGGCTTCTCCTCACTCACATGGTTGCAGGCACCAATAACTCAAAATCAGAAGATCAAACTGCAGGCTGTGGGCTCACATCCCAAGATCCAGAGATCAGAGATGACAAAATGACCTGCAGGATTGAGAGCAAGTGAACTTTGCCAGAACATACATATATATTGGAGGCAGATCACAATCCCAAGAAAACGCCCCTTAACAGATCACAAAATGAATAAAAATGGCATACTATTGAGAATCGTAGCCTAGCGAAGTTGACATATAACCCTAACCTCCACACTCTCCCCATCTCTTTATTGAGCACCTGGTATGGTGCCATGCGTGGGTTAATGTGCTGGACTGCAAAGTGGATGTGAACCACAGGCGCTTCTTGGAAACCCAATACAGGGATTCTATGCGTCAGAACAACAACAACTGTGTGCGAGGCATCCCTGGGTAGTGCGAACAGTTAACACTGGGCTGCTCACCAAAAGGTTGAAGGTTTGAGTGCACCTAGAGGTGCCTCAGAGGAAAGACTTGGGGATGTTCTTCCAAACAATCAAGACACTGACAACTTCCATTGAGAACTTCTACTCTGACACAGGTGAGCTCACCATACGTCACAATCAACTTCACCGCAACAGTTTAGTTTTATTTTATTTTTATTGCTATGTACAAATTAGATTTTTGGGTTTCCATGGAACTTGGTAGCCTCCATTGAGGTCTAAGAAATCCCCCCATTTTCACTCAAAGTGACTGAGCCAAGCTTTTTAAAAGTTGGGAGCATCATCCTCTTTTGTAGGGCTCAGCAGCACATAAAATTACAAGGAGCCAATGGCAAAACCCAATAATAAATGTGAAGCCTGTATTTAATCTCAATAAATTAAAATGAATAGCCCAAATAACAGAGCACTAAAATTATCTTCCTATTATTCAACTGTAGTTAAAATCGCAAAAGGGGAATTTAAATGTAAAGTGTATCTCATAGAGAATAAAAGAAATTTCCTTGAATGTGAAGAATCATATATAAAGTTCTAATTGAAAGCATCTATCAAGTCTCACTATTGAAATGAGCAGTGTTGTATTATACGTCTCCCACACCCCCCAGTCACAAGAGGAGACACATCTTTTATGTTAATTTATGTTTGGTTAAAAAACAAAGATTTCTCATACAACTAGTTCACCTCGAGCGGTCATTTTTTGGGGTGCTTATTTCTTGGAACACTTAAATCTGCCAACTTAAAATAGTAAGGACGAAACTTTCAAATTCTTCTCGTGACTAGAATGTCAGAATTCTCTTATGTCCTAACATGGGTGTCCCATTTGATATTTCAGCTGTACCTAGTGTCACCGCTCTGCCAACCAAATGTGTTTGATTAAGAGGGGAATGTTTTTCTCACAAGGAGTCAAGTGAAAACAAATTAGAATTTGAATGCCCATTTTGCGAATTAATTAAACTTGGTCACTGTCCATCTCATGTCTCATACATTTTTATGGGACTTTAATTTGGTTGGCACGGTGGTGGTGGTGGTGGTGTGCCGTGGAGTCGATTCCGACTCATAGCGACCCTGCATAGGATTTCTGAGGCTGTGAATCTTTATGGGAGCAGAAAGCTTCATCTTTCTCCCACGGAACAGCTGGTAGTTTCGAACTGCTGACCTTGAGTAATGTTCAGTTGTTTGTGTTTAGAAATTACTCTGTGAAAGAACTTGAAAGCTCCTAATTCCTTCTGCCTTGCAGATAACAAGATACGAATTCGCATAATCACTTTCAGAAAATCAATGTACTGTTGGCGTTACAAAACACAGAAATACCTCAAGTCAGTTGAGACTATAAAACAGCAGTGTTGCAAATATATGTTGTTGCTGGGGAAACGAGTGGCTTTTACTGGCTTACATGTACAACATAAAGCAAAGGTCAGCAATTCGAAACCTTTGTGGTCTGACTCGTAACCACTACACTACCAGAGCTCCTGAACAACAATATCTTATTTATGCACAATAGCTTTGAGTAATGTCTTTCTAGCAAAGAAGCACATAGGAGTTTGCATATAGCATAAAGCTGTAGTTTAGAAGTGCCTGGTGAAACGTGGTGGTGGTGGTGGTTCTTGTGGCGGTGGTGGTGGTGTGCCGTGGAGTCAGTTCCAACTCATAGGAAACCTGTGTAGGGTTTCTGTCGTGGCAAATCTTGACAGCAGCAGAAAGCCTCATCTTTCTCCCGTGGAACAGATGGTAATTTTGAACTGCTGACCTTGAGGGTAGCAGGCTGACTTGTAACCACTACACTATCAGAGCTCCTTAGTGATGCAAATAATTAACATGCTCGGCTGCTAGTCAGAAGGCTGGAGGTTTGAGTCACCCCAGAGAAATGCCTGGGGACCTACTTCTAAAATACCAGCCATTGAAAGTCAATCAGTACTCAGTCACACACGGGCCATTCTAAGTCAGATGACAATGTGTATATATGTGTATGTGTGTGTTAGAGCAAGTGGTACTTCATAAAGGAGAGATGATTTATGAGCCCAGGAAACCCTGCAATCAACACATCTCTGGACCAGTAAAGCATTGGACCTTCTTGGAGACTTATGGGTAGTCGGATACATGAATGCTAATAGTACCTGGTGTTAGGTTGTGCCTAACATACAGTACTGTGCTTGGACCTTGGATAGCTATATAGTCTCTGGCTGGACCTTTAGAATCTGCCTTTTACAAAGCTACATGGGTGAGTCTGAAGCAAATTCACATTTGAGAATTACTGCCTGGTGTGATGACAAGATCACTGAAGTTTTTGGTCAGAGAAGTAGCAAAATCAGAGCTGTATTTCAGAATGTCTACCCTGGTAATCACGTGCGAGACTGATTGAGATTGGCATGTGGGAAACTTTATTGGAAGCTACTGCGATGGTCCAGGTAAAAGGCAAACGGGCCTGGACCAAGCAGAATAAATAAAATGGGAAAAGAAATCAAATGCAAAATACACGGAGAGGGTCTCATCACGTAGATTAACTGACTGGATGAGTCAGGGTGGTAACATAGAGTTAGTAATAAAAGACAACCGAAAACTGTTTCACCTCAGGAAGAGTAGGAGACTCTTTCCTCACACACCGTGGAAAACGTTCTCTTGGAGTTGTGTTCAGTCAAGTTGCTGGAAATCCGTTTAAATGGCAGAGAGGTGAAATTTGAATCTAAATAGAAATCGTAGGTGGACTGCTAATAAAGTAAAGATGAAGTCTCTGTTAGCCACTGATACACTTTAATTAAAAACCAAGAAACCCAAACCAGTTAGTTAGTCATCAAGTCATTTCCAACTCATGGAAATCATTGTTCCGGAATTGAACTGTGCTCCATAGTGTTCTCAGTGGCTAATTTTTTGAAAGTAGATCCCCATGCGTTTCTTCCAAGGTTCCTCTGCCTGTACTTAAACCACCAACCTATCAGTTGTACCACCCAGGGACTCTGTTTCATTTGTAATTAACATACAATGAAAAGCAATATAAGCAAATATAATGTGTTTGTCTCTAAACTAAAGCGTCTGTAAACACCTGGCATTCTGTTGAGCAGAGCTGACATCTCGAAAGTCATGATGATTGCTAGGACATAGATAAGTTGTTTTCAACATTCATTTTTGCTCCTTTGTCTGTTTTAGCATTTGGATAAACAAATCTGATCTCTTAGTGCTTCATCTGTAAGTATCAGAAACATACAAATTGAAGTGCCTTTGTTATTTATAATAACATCAGTATACATATTTGTACATTCCCTGAGCAACAAAGGAAGAACTATAAAGTGTAAGGGTGTCTTGTGTACAGGGTTATGAAATCCAAGAGACATATCATGTAGTTGTTGTTGTTAAGTGCACTTAAGTTGGCTCATCACAGTAACCTATGCACAACAGAACAAAAAACTGCTCAGTCCTGTGCCAAACTCACAATTGTTGTTATGTTTGAATCCATTGCTGCTGTTCTTGTGTCAGTCCATCTAGTTGGGGGTACTTCTCCAGAGACTAGTCCCTCCAGATATTATATCCAAAATATGAGGGACAAAGTTTTGGCACCCTCTCTTCTAAGGGACATTTTGACTGTACTTCTTCCAATACAGACTTGTTCATTCTTCTGGCAGTCTGTGGTACTTTCAATAATCTTCCCCAACAGCATAATTCAAATGTATTGATTGTCCTATGGTCTTCCTGATTCTCTACCCAACTTTTACATGCATATGATGTGATTGAAAATACCATGCCTTGGGTCAGGCGCACTTAAGTACTAAAACCGGTATCTTTGTTTTTCAACACTTTTTTTAAAGATGTGTTTTACAGCAGACTTTCCTAACGGGATACATCTTTTGATTTCTCTACTACTGCTTCCATGAGCGTTGGTTATGGATGCAAGCAAATTGAAGTCTGACAACATCAATCTTTTATCCATGTATCATGATGTTATTTATTGTTCCAGTTGTGAGGATTTTTGCTTTCCATACATTAAGGTACAATCCCTACTGAAGACTATAGTCTTTGATCTTCATCAGTCAGTATTTCAAGTCTTCTTTGTTGTGTCATCTGGATTGCAGCTTGTTAATGAGTCTTCCTCCAATCCTGATGTCATGTGCTTCTTCATATAATCCAGGCTTTCGGATAATTTGTTTAGTACACAGACTGAATAAGTATGGTGAAAGGATACAACCCTAACCTTTCCTGATTTTAAACCATTCGGTATCCCCTTGTTCTGTTCTAACAACTAACTCTTTCTTGGTCTATGTCCAGGTTCCTCATGTGCATGATAAGTGTTCTGGAATATCCATTCTTCACAATGCATTCCATAGTTTGTTATGATCCATACAGTCAAAAGCCTTTGCATAGTCAAAAAGCACAAATAAACAAAAGAATCAATCGATCCGTTTTGGAACAAGTGCAGCCAGAGTACTCCTTGGAGGCCAAGATGGCCAAACTTCGTTTCTCATACTTCAGACATATTGTCAGGAGGGACCAGTCACTGGAGAAGGATATCATGTTTGGTAAGGTGGAGGGTCAGAGAAAAAGAAGAAGACCCCCAATGAGATGGATTGGCCAAGTGGCAGCATCGATGGACTCAAGCGTGGCAACAATAGTGAGGTTAGCCCAGGATCGGGCAGTGTTTTGTTCTGCTGTACATAAGGTCACTATGAGTCAGTACTGACACGATGGCACCTAACAACAACAACAACAACAACAACAAACATCTTTCTAGTATTCTCTTCTTTTAGTCAAGATCCATCTGATGTTAGCAATGATAGCCCTCATTCCATGTCCTCTTCTGAATCAGTTTGAATTTCTGACAGCTCCCTGCTGATGTGCTGTTGCAGGTGTTTTTGAGTTATATTTGCATGTGACATTAATGACCCATTCCATTGGGTCACCTTTCTCTGGAATTGGCATAAATTTGGATCTTTTCAATTGGTTGGCCAGGTAGCTGTCTTCCAAATTGCTTGGCATTGATGATCCAGAGCTGCCTCCGTTTGTTGAAACATTTCTATTTTTATTGTATTGTCGATTCCTGGAGCCTTGTTTTTGTCAGTGCCTTCAATGCAGCTTGGACTTCTTCCTTCAGTTTCTTGATCATATGGTACCTCTTGAAATGACTGAAAATTCACCACGTTTTGGTACACTGACTCTGTGTATTGCTTCCATTTTCTTGTGGTGTTTGCAGTGTCGTTCAATATTTTGACCACAGAATCCTTCAATATTGGAAACCAAGACTTGATTTTTTTCTTCAGTTTTTCTCTGCTTGAGAAATGCTAAGCGTGTTCTTTCCTTTTAGTATTTAGTATAATTCGAGGTCTTTGTACATTTCATTGTAATATTTAACTTTTGCTTCATGAGCTAGTCTTTGAAATGTTATGTTCAGCTCTTTTATTTTATCATTTCTTCCAGTCGCCTTAGCTTCTCTGCACTCAAGAGCAAGTTTCAGAGTCTTTTCTGACATTCATTTTGGTCTTCTGACATTCATTTCTTTTCTTGTCTGTTTAATGACCTTTTGCTTTCGTCATATATGATGTTCGTGATGCCATCCCACAATTCTTGTGGTCATCAGTCATTAGTGACAAATACATCAAATCTCTTCTTGAGATGGTCTCTAAATTCAGGTAGGATATACATAAGCTCATATTTTGGCTCTCACAGACTTGTTTTAATTTTCTTCAGCCTCAGTCTGAACTTGCATACAAGCAATTGATGATCTGTATCACAGTTGGCCCCTACCTTGTTTTGGCTGGTTATATTTGCTTCTCGATGATCTCTTCCCACAGGCGTAGTCAGTTTAATTCCTCTGTGTTCTATCTGATGAGGTCCGTTTGTATAGTTAGTCACTGTTTATTTTGTTGAAAAGAGATATTAACAAAGAATAAATCTTTAGTCTTACAAAATTCTTTCATGTGATTTCTAGCATTGTTTCTACTACCAAGGCCATATTATACAACTACTGATTCCTCCTCTTTTCCAACTTTTGCATTCCACTCACCAGTAATGATCAATGAATCTTGATTGTATGTTTGATCAATTTCAATCTGAAGAAGTTGGTGGAATTCTTCAATTTTATCATCTCTGGTTTTAGTGGCTGATGCATGAATTTGAATACTCGTGCCATTACCTGGTCTTCCATGTTGTTACTAAGTACCCTTCAGTCCCAAAGAGCTGCTGTTAAGTTTGAACTGCTGATCTTGCAGTTCAAACCGATCTTATAGTCAAGTGCTTATCCTCCAGTGCCACATCAGGACTCCCACCTTCCTTGTAGGCATATGGATATAGTCTTATCACAGACAGCATTATACTTCAAGAGATATCTTGAAATGCTTGTAATGATGAACGCAATGCCATTTCTCTCTGATTTGTCATTCCCAGCATAGTAAACCATAGGATTGTCTGGCTCAGAATGGTCAGTACCATTCCATCTCAGCCCACTGATGCCTAGGATATTGATCTTTATGCATTCCATTTCATCTTTGACAACTTGGCAGCTTTCCTATATTCATACTTTGTGCATTTCATATTCTGATTATTAACCAATGTTTGCAGCTGTTTCTTCTCATTTGAGTTGTGCCACATCAGCAAATTAAGGTTCCAAAAGCTTTGCTCTAGTCGTGTCGTTATGAGCAACAACTCTACTTTAAGCATGTAGCTCTTGCACAGTCGTATTTTGAGTGCCTTCCAACATGAGGGACTCATCTTCCAGCATTATATCAAACAATGTCCTCCAGCCATTTATAAGGTTTTCATTGGTTAACCATTCAGAAGTATCACAGCAGCATGCAAGTCACCACAGGACAATGAATTGACAGACGAGTGGTGGGTATTTTGTAGAAGAGATAAAGTAAGGTTTTATGCAAAGACTAGACTTGGAATCAGATGACAGCTCTTTGAAATATTAATCACAAATTGGCAGGCTTATGGTTATTACTATAACCGTTATAGAATTTGGGTCATAACTCTTCCATCAAAACTTTGAAGGACTTGCCAGTGTGTTTCATTTTATTTGGCTATGAAATGAAAGAGACCACACTGTGGTCCTAGATCTAGAGTTCTGATGAGGGACCCACACATTCTCTCTGCCTCAAGGACACAGCGGTTCTGGGAGTCTCCTCTGGGTGTGTCCACATAGCACTGGGTACCTCCCCATAGTTTGTGGATATGGGCAATGAGCAAATAAGGCTTCCCCTCCTCAGAAGAAGCATTAATTCATCAGAAATAGACAATAGGGCATTTTGATAAATATGGAAATAAAAACATCACCAAAAACTCCATCCTGGTTCTCAGAGGTATACCAATTTGTAACTTCCCCTGATCCTGTTGTACATATACAACATCCTGCCTGAATCCCACCCCTACTTCTAAGAGAGTTGTCCATTTGCTCATACTAGAAAGGATCATTGTTGGAACATCTTTTTGCATAGGTTCCATGCCTGCCTTCCTCTTTCCTTGCCCAAGGCCTGCTCCCTACTCAGGGATCCTTGAGGTGGAATTGCTGTTCACTTACTGCCACCTAGTGGTTCTTCATTCCTAAAAGTTCTTTTCCTCCATTTCTTTGAGGGGGTTTTCTGTTGTGGATATTCACCAGCAAATTGACAAGATGTTGTTGTTAAGTACCATGGAGTTGGTTCCGACTCATAGTGACCCTGCACAGGGTTTCCGAGGCTGTAAATCTTTATGGGAGCAGAATGCCTCATCTTTCTCCCAGGGAACCACTGGTAGTTTCGAACTGCTGACCTTGAGGTTAGCAGCCCGATTCGTACCCACTGCACTACCAGAGCTCCTTAAACTGACACCATACAAACATTGATTTAGGATTGGATGATTTATGAGCCCAGAAGGCAGATTATTATTGTTACTTGTTTTTAGTTGAAGTGGAAGATCCTAATTTGGCTTTGTTGAAGCTGGCATGTCCTAAAGTTGTATGTGTGTGATGTGTGTGTGTGGTGGTGGTGGTGGGGGGGGGAGGGCTCTGATCAGTTCTCTTTGAGATGAAGGCAATCAATAACTGAAAACAGGAAAATCACTGTAAATAAGAGGTTCTCGTTTAGTGAAAATCTTGCCTCTTTTCCCTCCCTTGGCAACATTTGGTAATGTCTTGAGACATTTTCATTGTCAAGTGTGGGGCATGCTACGGGTATCTACTGGGTAGAGGCAAGAACTACTGCTAAACTTCTTATAATGCATAGGACAACCTCTACAACAAGAATTTTCTGGCCCAAAACATTGATAGTGCTCAGTTCCGATCTGTTATTTTGTTCCACCGTAGCTTGCTCTTTCATCCCACTCATGCCAGTTAAATGCATGCAGCCCTCCCTCAGCAGGTATTGGTACCCTCAAGTCTGTCCCAACTCATAGTGGCCCTGTGTAGAATTTCCACAAGTGGCTGGAGGGTTTGAACTGCTGAATTTGAGGTCCAGTGCTTATCCTACAACGCTACACCAGCTAATAGCGGTGATTGACACCATTGAAAATGAAAAGTGGATCTGCTGTCAACTAGCCTTGGTCATCCCTCTGGCAGGTTCTGAAACTATTTCCTTGTACCTATCTTCTACCTCTGCAAAATGTTTAAACCAAACCAAACCAATGCTTCGAGTTGGGCTCCCACCATATAAGTGAAAGGCCAGAGAAGGGGCTGGGGCAGAATCTAAAATGGGGGGCTCAGACCTCTTTAGGTGCTTTGCTACCACACCTGCCTGCCCTTGTTGATGAACTCAATGCCCAGGTCCATCTTCTTCTCTGCTTGTTCCCCACAGTGAGTTAGAGGACTTTGTGGAAGACTTGAAGAAAGACTCTGCATCTGCTGGCCGAGTGGTCACACTCAAAGACGTGGAAGATGGGGCATTCCTCCTGCGACAAGTGGGAGAAGCTGTAGCTACCCTGAAAGGTGAGCAAAAAGGCCTGATGTGTGTTTTCTGAGGTACTCACAAAAGAGTCAGTCATCTGTTCAGCGTCACCATGTGCCAGGAGCACCGTTCTAGGCTCTTGAGGTCCATCGCTGAACAAAATAGACAAACACATTGTCCTCTTGGAGGTTCTAGGATTTTTTTTTTTTTTTTTTTTTAATGTTGTGAACTGAGTGATAGTTTACATGGGAGAATGTCAGCTTTACACCATTGTTTCATTGCAATGATTACAATCTCCTCCATGCATCCTCATTCAACAGTATTTGCTTCCATTCCCTCTGTTTTTCTTTTTTGTTTGTTTGTTTTTTGGGGGGGTGTGGAGGGGTGGGGAGATGTACACAAAAACACTCAGGAATATATAACAATTTAAACAACCAAAGAGCACGTTCTGCAAGCCTGCCTCCTGGCCACCAGCACTCAGTCCCTCTCTTTCCATGAGTCTAGAGTCCTTAGTTGCACCCTCTCTCCATGTCCCCATCTCTGGAGGCTATAAGATCTTGAACTAAATGTCAATAATAATGGTTTCTATTTGCTGGACTCTTAAAAAATGCAAGGACAACTGTAGCAAACCCATTAAAAATAGCCCTAAGGGACAGCTGACCTGACCCAAAATGAACAGATAGGAGATTAGGCCTAGAGAAATTGTGGCCTTGCCAAAGGGCACTTTGAACCCAGCTCGGCCTGACATTCTTCTTAGCTCTTAACCCACTGCCTCCTGTAGATGGGTGGTGTGCACCATGGCTGAAGGAGCTTGGTGTTGCTCAGCCTTACTCAGTGGCAGTGAAGGGTGGAAGGTTGCTGTTGGGGATTTTTCTCCTAGAATTAACCAGCTGGTTTTGGCCTGCAGGAGAATTTCCCACCTTACAGAACAAGATGCGTGCCATCCTCCGCATTGAGGTGGAAGCCGTTCGGTTCCTGAAGGAGGAACCACATAAACTGGACAGTCTCCTGAAGAGAGTGAGGAGCATGACCGATGTCCTGACCATGCTGCGGAGGTGAATGGTTCCAGATGTGGCTGGGGGCGGTCTGTGGATGGGACCTGCTGGGAAGGTCAGGGTTCCGAGGTGCTGGGCTCCTGAAACCTGTTTCCATGCTCATTACTTATGATACCTCTTGTTCCTCATGCCCTGAGGAGAATCTAGAGCCTGCCCACATTTGCATTTTCACTTCAGTTTGAATCCATGTTATAATTCCTCACCATAGGCTGCCTGCATTTGGAACACCCGACGGGGCTTAAAATTAGTAAACTTTTTTTTTTTTCTAACCACCTAAAGGATTTTTGCTTTTAAGTAGCATTTTGCAGCTGAATAAAATCAAAATATTTTATTAGCTTCCTTCACGTCAAAGACAGAAGGACCAAAATTGCCTCTACCTGTAGCGCCCATATCTGACTGGGTAGAGGAAAAAATTGTACCTGGGTTAGATTTTCTGACTGAGTCACACTCACTTCAAAGTGCCTATGTGTTGATTTGTTTGTTTGTTTTTCCCTAGTAGAATAAAAATCTGATGAAAGAATTCTTCATTAAGCTCCTAGCCAAATATGGTAACCTAGCTCCAAGAAGCCACCCTTATGACTTGGAAATAGTAACCTAGCAGGTAGAACTGCCCCGTGCTCTCTTCTTTTCCCTGAAAAACAAAAGAAATGTTTAGAGCCAGCACAAGAGGGCTGAAGTTCAGTATGTACCTTACCTCCAAGGAATGCAAGTTCTGAAAACAGACGGGATTGTGTGTTTTGGATTTTAGGTGATTTAAATATTTTTGGTCCCATAAGTCCTTGGTGATGAGGATGATACATGTTGTTGTTGTTATGTGCCGTGGAGTCGGTTCCGACTCATAGCGACCCTGCACAGGATTTCCGAGGCTGTAATTCTTTACGGAGCAGAAAGCCTCATCTTTCTCCCGCGGAACAGCTGACCTGTGGCTCACAGCCTGAATCGTAACCACTACGCTACCAGAGCTCCTTAAATAGTGTTTAAACGAAAGAAATTTTACGTGCCGTTACACTTCCCATCACAAGCTATCATACTAATTTTTTTCTTAGTATCTTTTGTGTGTAGCTGGCTCTACTAGGCCCTGAGGGAGACTCAGGAGAAATGGAAGGAATAAGTTTGGTTCCAAATCAGTTGTTAACTGAGAGGCCAGTGGTTCAAATCTACCCAGGTGAAAAGACCAGGCATTCTGCTCCTGTACAGATTGCAGCCTAGGATACACTATGAGGCAGTTCTTCTCTGTCCCATGGGGCACTGTGAGTCACAATCAACTCGAAGGCACCCAGAAACAACCATGAGCTTGCAGCACGACAGAAAAGATACAAACAAGCACAGTTCAGAGTTGACTTAGGGATTTGGGGTGCTAAAGTGGACTTGTTCATGTTGACTATGACATGCTGGAAGGATATCTCAACAGAACTGCCCACTAGGCACTTAGAAATGTGGAGTGATGTTCAGGAGACCTTGACTAGCTTGGTGTCAGGAAGAAGAAGAAGGAGGGAGGAAGGAAGGATCTGGAAGGGGAAGTCATCTTCATGGAAGCAATCTTAGAAAGGTAAGAGATGGCCCAGGAAGAGAGGGTGAACATGAACACGTAGCATTAAAGCAGCTAGCTGTAAAGGACTTAAAAAAGCTGTTAGATTTCTAAGTCATTATTGACCTCACCAGGAATCCTGATGTGGCACCATAGGAGAAACATTGGAAGAAACTCCAGTAGTGAAGTGGTCATGCAGTTCCAGGTTAGCAGTTCAAAACTACCAGCTGTTCCATGGGAGAAAGATGAGGCTTTCTGCTCCTGTGAACATTTATAGTCTCGGAAACCCTGTACAGGGTCACTATGAGTTGGAATCGACTCATAATTAACCATGCCAAGAGACTCAGCTGAGTACAAGTGAGGAAGGTCAGATCACAGCAGGCTGAGGGACAAGAACTGCAAGGATCCAAATTAGTGTCTTATCTACTTCCCCAAGATGTCTGGCAGTGAAAGAGGGAGAGTCTGGGGGACTTAGGCAACTTTGAAGTCATTGGGTGGTGTAAACAGGAGGTTGGAGTTTACCCAGGCCCCTCGTCAGAAAGGCCTAGGCGTCTACTTGCAAAAAGAGCCAGTCATTGCTGCTCTGTGGCGCACACAGCTCTATTGTGACACACCTGAGTTAAAACAACTCAACGACATCTTGTTTATTTGGTTGTTTTGGGGGTTTTTTTGGAAGGAAGCTTTTGAAATTAGAACCCAATATATTACAGAGCTGTACAGGTCAGGAGCAGGAAGAAGAGTTAGAAGGATGTTAATATAATATTATCCATGTTCTGCAACCATTACCCAAACAGTGATGAAGTCGTATGGGTCTGTGCCTAACAGCACCATCTGAAAGGGAAAGATAGACCACCTCCAGAGAAAAGGACTGAAAATGCAGCTGCCAAAGATACCTAGGAGGCAATGCCAGGGCTTTAGGAAGTTGCTATGGAAACCCTGTTCCCTGAGCTCCTACTCTTGAGTTTTAGAAGGTTTTAATTTTGAAACAAAATCTTGCCTGGCTTTGGGATAACATAGCATCCAAGTATGCAATGGTCATAAAATGAGAGTAACATGTTCTAATGGCTAACACTGCCGTGCCTGGTTTCTTCTAGACATGTCACCGATGGCCTCTTAAAAGGCTCAGATGCAGCCCAAGCTGCACAGTACGTGGCGATGGAAAAGGCCACTGCCGCGGAAGTCCTGAGGAGCCAGGAGGAGGGCCCCCATGCTGCAGGCCAGTCCCTCCCCAGCACAGGAGTCCCCGGCGATATGAAGTCAGAGGTGGTGACAGTGCACCATGCACAGAGCTCGCCTGTGGCCATCCAGACCTCTCAACACACCTCGTCCCTGCTCAGCCATGCCCAGACCTTGCCTCACCCGGCCAGTCCTCCAGCTGTCTCGCAGGAAGTGGCCTCTGCTCTGCAGCCAGCCCCCCAGTCCCCACAGACTCCCATGAATGGCTCCACCATGCAGAGCTTGTTCATTGAGGAGATCCACAGTGTGAGTGCCAAGAACAGGGCCGTGTCTATTGAGGTACAGTCTTATTTCCATGTCTTTTAACCCCATAAAGGAGTGTACCACGTGGTCCTTTTCTTGAAGGAGTTTACCATCTGGTTGTGGAGATAGATTTTGACAACTGTAAATGTGTTTCAGGAGCACTGTGGGGTCGATGGTAGAACTCTCCCTTCCATGTACAATAACTGGGCTTGATTTCCAACCAGTGCATCTTATATGGAACTGCCACCTGTCTGTCAGGGGAGGCTTAACTGTTGCTATGATGTTGAACAGGTTTCATTCAGTAGAGCTTCCTGACTAAAACACTAGGAAGAAAGGCCTGGTGACTAAGACGCTAGGAAGAAAGGCCTGGTAATCTACTTCTGAAAAACCAACCAATGAAAACCCTATAGATCAGTGCATAGGGTTGTCATGTTTGACTGACTCAAGGCCTCCAAATAACAACAAAGTAATGGATTCCAATAGTTAAATTCGGACGAGTGTACATCGATTGTATTTCAAAGAAGGATGCAGACCCTAGCCTGTAGGCAGGTGAGATAATGAGGTGCTGGTGAAGCTCTGGCCCTCTAAAGGGAATGTCCTGATTTGTAACATTTGCTAATTTTCTTGTATAAAAATGCTCCCACTGTGACCAATTTTGAGCAACAGTATGCCATTGCTGTGTGTGGCCTTCGGAAGAATTGTGGCACTCAGCTGTCCTGAGCCCATCAGTGTGAACTAGCTGCAGCCCAGCAGGGATGTACTGAAAAGGAGGGTTTCCATTTGCTGCAGTTCATGAAAGGTAGTGGGTTCTGGGTAAGCAGATGAGGTGGTCTAGAAGTAAGGGAACTAAATGGAAGGTTAATAGAGTAAGTAGTATAAGACTACCAGACAGAGGCAGTCTAAATGGAAAGAGAAAACGAAATTGTACAGTCACACAACTTATGGAAAAGTCAGGCTATATTTTTAAATATACTCTTTACCAAGAGCTGGTATCAGTACTACATGTATTATGTTATGTTGTATTGTGTTATGTTCTCCTAGCTCTTTCCACAGAACTTGCCCTCCATTCATTGATACCTACTCCCAGAAACCTGGTTCCTAACCTTCCAACCTGTCTTGAAAGTCTTCAGTGGGTAACTCAGGTGGGGCGTGTTCAGTTACCCTCTTGCTACAGACAAGATAGTGGCTACAGGGCTCTGAACACTAATTAACTTCAACCTGTTCCAAACTCAGTGACTCTGCCCCCTTATCTGAGTCAGCTATTTAAAAAGTACTTATCACTGCAGTGGATAGAAATGTGATAGAATGAATGTGATTCTAAGCCTTTATTGAGCACCTTCTGGGCACACTTGTGTGTGTAGTTCAAGTCATGAGTCATCGCTGATAATGCCTTGGCATAAAAGTAAGGAAGCGTGGGCCTTGCGCCCAGCTTTACCACTGACCAGGCAGCTACCACTGAGCCCCTGCTATTCACTGGGTACTCACCAACACTGGGCATAGGTAGTGAGCAAAAGAGGAAAAGCCTATGCCCTCAAAGAAACTCACCTACATGTAGGAAGACACCGAGTAAACATGTGACAGGTGATAACCAATGCTGTGGAGAAAAACTAAAGGAAGGTAGGAATCCTGACATGTCATCAGGAGGGACCGGTCCCTGGAGAAGGACATGATGCTCGGTAAAATGGAGGTTCAGCGTAAAAGAGGAAGAGCCTCCAGTGAGATAGACTGGCACAGTGGCAGCTGCAAAGCGTTCACACGTCACAGTTGTGAGGCTGGCATAGGGCCAAACAGTGTTTCATTCTATTGTGCATAGGGTCACTGTGAGTTGTAACCAACTCGATGATAGCACCTAACAACAACAGGAATCATGAAGGGGTGGCTATTATTGATGCAGACAGAATCTTGCACAAATCCTTCACCTTGCTAAATCTCAACCTGGTGATGGTGGTGGTTGTATGAGGATGGTGGTTACTGGCTTTGTGGTTAGCACCCCAACAGGTAACACACTATACCACCAGGGCTCCTCAGATCTCAGCCTGTTCAGACGTAAAATATGCCATTTGGTGATCTCCAGGTTGGTACAGGATTAGGAAACGATTCCTTCTGTTTTATGTGGGGTCTTGTCAAGTTGGAACCAACCTGACCACACCTAACAACAAAGACCTTTCTGATATTTATGTTATTCCGTTAATCTTGCTAATTTCTACTGTGCCTTCCTGCACTCTAAAATCACGGGGAACTCTTCCTTTAAAAATATTGCTGCTCTTAGGTGCCATTGAGTCAGTTCTGACTGATTGCGGTCCTGTATAGGGTTTCTGAGGAGCAGCTGGTAAGCTTGAACCACCGACCTTGTGGTTCAAAGTGACTGCAGTCCAGCGCATTCACCCAAAGCGCAACACCAGGACTTTAAATATATATCTTAGGTATTTTATGTTTCTTTTCTTAGCAAAGAACTTGACGGTGCTTACAGGACATTTAACCAACCCCCTCATTTCCTAAGTGATAATTTGGCTCACATGGTTATAGAGCAATTGTCTGATAGAAGTGGAACTCGAATACAGAATTCCTGATACCTAGAGAGTGTTTGTTTTTGTTTCTATTTGTTTGAACATATTGTCTATGAAAACTCAATTTAAGAAACAAAAAATTGGTGGTGGGACATATATCCCTTTAAAAGTGTATTTTGTGTCTATTTTATGTCAGCAAGCACTCAATAGTAATTTAATGAACCGATTTGGATTTCTGAGGTTGTTTTTCTGAATAAATATTACTTGGGCTTGCATGGGATCCCATCTAGCTGCAGAAGATGGGCAAATGACAGACGAGGCAAGTAACCTGGGCTTGGCAGAGACAGTCTGACATGCAAAACAGAAACCAGGACATTATTTTACCTATTTACCAGCATTTTAACAGTGTTAGTTACACCTCCTCCTCAGATTCCTGGTGTGGCATTTAGAATAAGCCCTAGACTTTGAACCACAAAGTCAGTGGTTTCTGCACTTGAAAACCCCAGCTGATCCTCAGAAACCCTATACAGGGCCGCTATGAGTCGGAACTAACTTGATGGTATTTAATCGCAACAGCAACACACCTCCTCCCTACCCTTGTTGTTGTTATGTGCTGTCGAGTCGGTTCCAACCCATAGTGACCCTATATAGGGTTTCCAAGGAGCAGCTGGTGAGCTTGAACTGCTGACCTTGAAGTTCAAACAGCCCTACCCTTATGAACTATGAACTAACCATCGATTAGTGTTTCCCTCTGGTTTTTAAACCTTCTTCACTTGATATTTTCCTTTAGAAAGCAGAAAAGAAATGGGAAGAGAAAAGGCAAAATCTGGACCACTACAACGGGAAGGAGTTTGAGAAACTCCTAGAAGAGGCTCAGGCCAATATCATGAAGTCCATTCCAAACCTGGAGATGCCGCCATCTTCAAGTTCATTGCCAAAGGGAGAAACTCCAGTGGACAAGTTAGAACTTTCAGGTGAGTGTGACTCCATGGCAGGTCATTATCAAGCTGGTAAGACAGACTGTCCATAGATTGGAATGTTGCCATCAGCCTAAACGTGTCTTGTCACTGTGACCAGTTTTTCACTTTTTAAGAATCACTGAAAATTAAAAGGTTGGAAGAGTAAATCCCCAGGTGTTCTGTCGAGCCTCAGTGCTACTCTTTATAACCATAGTAGGGAAACAGGTTCCTTTTTGTATAGTAGGACAATGCTCAGTAAATTTAAATTGCTAGCTTCTCTATTTCCTGTGAGTTGTTTGACACGTCAGAGCCCCAGCTGGGAGAAGATGAGGACTGCATTTACAGCCAGAATTTTGTGGAGGCCACAGAAAAAATATGCAGTTTTTATCAACCCTGGGGGGATATTAGATGGTAGAGCAAAATTGTATCTTTTATAATGTATATTTAATCAACTAGACTTTGAAAGTTAGGCACCAGCATCAATAACAATATAACTAAAAAATGCAGCCTACTACATCTCTGACCAATTAGAAGCCATGTGGCTTTTCCTGATCTTAAAATTCTGCAAACAGACATTATATGCCCAGTGTCTCTGCAGAGTTACAGTCAGTGATGTAACTAAAATCAATTATTAAAGGAATCACTATTTTTGACTTGGATGTCTCAAAGAACATCAAAGTGGATATGTTTTATAACCACTGTATTTTCATTCCACAAAGCTGCTCAAAAGCTCCACCCCCTAACAATTTCCCCTCATCTGCCCTAAGAGCCTTTTCCCACTTCCTGCCCCCACTAGCCTCTCTAGGACCCCTGGGGGACCAGCAACAACTGCCCATGAAGGGAAGGGTCCTGGGAAGGAAAGCTCTACTCTTCCAATCTCCCACAGAGACTTTCTGATGGAAAAAAATGATCTCTTGTTACATTGGTATCTTATTTAATTTTATTTTTGATCTTTGATATTGTTCTCATAACTATCATATCATATGACTCTACAACAAAAAATATAGCAACGTGGCTTAAGAACAAGCTGTGCGTTCAGAATCACTCTCACCCTGAAACCCACTGCCCTTGTGCATGACGCAGGGATCATTGTACAAATTGTCACTTTTAACCCAGGTGTCTTTTACAGTTTTAAGTAAAAACTCCTGAAAAATCTCCTCTAGGCAATTCTGTCCTGATTTCTCTAAAGAGAAAAGCATGATCCTAGGAGGCAGCCATGTCTCAGAGAGAGAGAGAGAGTCCAGACAAAACTCTCAGGACATTCCACAGCCTGCACTTCCGGTTGCACTGCTGTTCTGAGCTCTTGGAGCGCATCTCCCTGTGAAATGTTGGTAAAGGGCAGGAGTGAGGCTACTTGTTATGAGTTTTGATGAAGCACTGCCTTGTCCTGTAACTGGGGGAAGCTGCTACCTCCACTTCCTAAGCTTCAGTACCAACACAGACTTACAACTCTGTAATTTCTGTAGTCACTGCCTCCATTTTGTTAGTCAAGAACCTTTTCCAACCATGTGTTGTTGTTGTTAGATGCTGTTGAGTTGGTTCCAACTCTAGGTACAACAGAATTAAACACTGCAACGCAACACCCCCAGCCCTCAGTCATCCTCACAGCTATTATGTTTGAGTGCACTGCTGCTGCCACCATGTCAGTCCATCTCATTGGGGGTCTTCCTCTTTTTCACTGACCCTCCACTTACTAAGCAGGATGTCCTCCTCCAGGGACCCGTCCCTCCTGATAACCTGTCCAAAGTACACAAGGTGAAGCCTCTCCACCCTCACTTCCATCCACTTTTTCCCTAGCTCTGTTCTTTAGTCCCATCTGGACATTTTATTCTGACATCCCTTTTGCTAATGCTGTTTCTCAAACCAGGTTTCAGAAGTTTTAGAGGACATGCCAAAGACTTCAAATATGCTTATGGACTCTCTGGTCTTTGATCTCTCCCAGAATTGCTCAGTGTTCATGTGTCAGAGGAAATTCATTTAATACTATTACTTGCATTAACAATTACAATATGCCAAGCACTGTTCTAAATGCTTTATATACAGTAAGTCATGTAATCCTCATAGTAATCTCATGGAGAGGATGCTGTTATGACCCCTATCTTACAAATAAGAAAACTGAGGTACAGAGAAGTTAAGTAACTTGCATAGAGTCTTTATGGGATTTATTTCTAGCCAAAGTTGATACTCTTAAAAATCCTCTTCTCTCCATAGTGCAAGGTTTAAGTCAGATTGGGTGCCTGGATGGCGCAGACTGTTTGCATGTGACTACTAACTGAAAAGTTAGCATGGAAGAAAGACTTAGTGATCGTTTCCTACCATACAGTTCTACTTTATTACTGCTGAGTTTGTAGACACACACTGGACTTTCTGGAAAGATGATTTTGTACTGGCACACTTCTGTTTTGTGTTTTGTTTTGTTTTTCAGAAGACTCTCCGACTTCAGAACAGGACTTGGAAAAGCTGGTGGGGAAGTCCCCGCCTCCTCCACCCCCACCCCCACGGCGGAGTTACCTGCCAGGATCCGGGCTGACCACCACGAGATCGGGCGATGTGGTCTACACCAGCAAGAAGGAGCACTCCACTGCTAAGGTCTGCTGGGCTAAGCCCTGTGTTCAGATGATGCATGGAAATGGACCTGTTCTTGTTCAGAACATAAAAAGAGTGAGGCAGAGATGAAAAATGAGAAAATCAAATAAGCCAGGGAATTTCAACCAGTGTTACTGGATTAGACTCAGTACCAAGAATTTTATTCTTACTTGGCTTTAATTGCAACAGTATAAAATGCAAAGCTCAAAGCTCAAACTGCTTCCCAAGTGCAGCATCCTAAAATGAAAATCGGGATGGGAGAACGAGCAAAAGATAAGATAATCGAGACTAGTTTGCACAGTTGTGGGGACTCTATACAGAAAGATGTCTTTTATATCTGATGTTGTTGTTGTTAGGTGTGGTTGAAGTCCTCTTCTCTTTCACTGACCCTCCACTTTACCTAAAACATGATGTCCTTCTTCAGGGACTGATAGGTCCAAATTGTGAGAGATGAAGTCTGGTCATCTTGGCCTCTAAGGAGCATTTGGGCTGCAATTCTTCCAACACAGATATGTTTGCTTTCTTGACAGTCTTTTACTATTCTCCTCCAATACCATAACTAAAAAACATCAACTCTTCTATGGTCTTCTTTACTCATTGTCCAGCTTTCACATGCATATGAGGTTATTGAAAATACCATGGCTTGGGTCAATCTTTGTCCTCAGACTATCATCTTTGCTCTTCACCACTTTAAGGAGGTTTTATGCAGCAGAATTGACTAATGCAATATATTGTTTGGTTTCTTGACTGCTGCTTCTGTGAGTGTTGATGGTTGATCTCAGAAAAAGGAGATTTTTTGACAACTTCAGTCTCCATTTATCTTGATGTTATTTTCTGGTCCAGTGGTGTTGGTTTTTGCTTTCTTTACTTTGAGGGGCAACCCATACCATCAGTATTTTAAGTCCTCTTTGCTTTCAGCAAGCAAGGTTGTATCATCTGTATATCATAGGTTATTAATGAGTCTTCTTACAATCCTGGTGCCATGTTCCTCTACAGATAATCCAGCTTCTTGAATTGCTTGCAGAGCATACAGATTGAATAAGTATGGTGAAAGAACACAACCCTGGTACATATCTTTCCTGACTTTAAACCATTCGGTGTCCCCTTGTTATGTTTGAACCACTACCTCTTGGTCTATACACAAGTCCCTCGTGAGTATAATTAAGTGTTCTGAAATACTCATTCTCCACAATGTTGTCCATAGTGTGTCACGATCCACACAATCAAAAGCCTTTGCATAGCTGATAAAGCACAGTAAACACCTTTCTGGTATTCTCTTTTAGCCAAGGTCCATCTTATGTCAGCAATGATACACTTAGTTTCATATCCTCATCTGCATCCAACTGGAACCTTTGGCAGTTCGTTGTCAATGTACTGTTGCAACCATTTAAAAATTATCTTTAGCAAAATACTACTTGCATGTGATATTAATGATATTGTCCAATTACTTCCACATTCCATTGGGTCACCTCTCTTTGGAATGGGCACAAATATGGATCTCTTCCAATCATTTGGCCAGATAACTGTTTTCCAAATTTCTTGCATAGGTGAGTGAACACCTCCAGTGTCACATCAGTTTGTTCAAAGACTTTGATTTGCAGTCCATCAATTCAAAGAGCCTTGTTCTCTGCCAGTGCCTTCAGTGCACCTTGGACTTCTTCATTCAGTATCATTGGCTCTTGATCATATGCTACCTCTGGAAATGGCTGAACGTCGACCATATCTTTTTGGTAGTGACTGTGTATTCCTTCCCTCTTCTTTTGATGCCTTCTGCATCATTCAGTATTTTGCCCATAGAATCCTTCAGTATTTCAAGTCAAGGCTTGAATTTTTCGTTCAGAATGAGAAATGCCGAGCATGTTCTTCCCTTTTTATTTTCTAACGTGAGGTCTTTGAACATTTCATTATAATATTTAACTTTGTCTTCTCGAGTTGACCTTTGAAATTTTCTATTCAGCTCTTTCACCTCCTCATTTCTTCCATTTGCTTTGTCATCTCTACACTGGGAAGCATATATATCAGAGTCTCTTCTGACATTCGTTTTTGGTTTTCCTTCTTTTCTTGTCTTCTTCATGACCTTTTTGCTTTCTTCCTGTATGATTTTCTGTATGATATCCCACAACTCTTCTGGTCTTCGGTCTTTATTGTCTGCTGCATCAAATATGTTCTTAAATGTTCTTTAAATTCAGGTGGGATATGTTCAAGGTCATATTTTGGCTCTTGTGGACTTGTTTTAATTTTCTTTAGCTTCAGCCTGAACTTGCAATATAAGGTCTGTCCTTGGCCTTATTTTGGCTGATGATATGGAGCTTTTTCACAGTCTTATTTCCATAGATGTAGTCAATTTGATGTCTTTGTATTCCATCTGGGGAAAAAAAAAAAGACATTTTCAATGAATAAGTCATTAGTCTTGTCAAATTCTATCATGCGATCTGCAGCATTATTTCTCCAGGCATATTTTCCAACCTTTACATTCCAATAACCAGTAATTATCAATACATCTTGATTGCATAGTTAATCAATTTCAGACTGAAGAAATTCTTAGAGTGCTTCAATTTCATTGTCACTGACTTTAGTGGTTGGTACATAAATTTGAATACTAGTTTATTAAGTGGTCTTCTTGTAGGCATATGGATATTATCCTATCACAGACAGCATTGTACTTCAAGATAGATCTTAAAATGTTCTTTTTGATGTCATATGAATACAACACCATTCCTCTTTGATTTGTCATTACCAGCATAGTAAATCATATGATTGTCAGACTCCAAATGGCCAATACCTGTCCATTTCAGCTCATTAATGCCTAGGACATAGAGTTTATGCATTCCATTTAACTTTTCACAACTTCCAATTTTCCTAGAGTCATACTCTGTATTTCCCTGTTCTGATTATTAGTGGATATTTATAGATATTTCTCCTTATGTTGAGTTGTGCTCCATCATCAAATTAAGGTCCTCAAAAGCTTTACTCCGTTCACATCACCACGGTCAACTCTACTTTGAGGAGGCAACTCTTTCCCAGTCGTATTTTGAGTGCCTTCTGACCCAATAGCTGACACTCTTCAGGTTTTACTCATCATGTTTCAATATACTGTAATCTGGTGCTATGTGACGGTGTTCCACTGCTAAACATAAGGTTTTCATTGACTAAATATTTGGAAGGAGTCCATCTCTCCTTCCTAGTCTGACTTAATCTGGAAGCTCTGCTGAAACCTGTCCACTGTAGTGAGCCTGCTGGTATTTAAAATATCTGTTGCATAACTTCCAGAATCACAGCAACTCACAAGCCATCCCAGTACAACAAACTGACAGACGAATGGAGTTCCGTGAGATGTACAATATAATTTCCAAGGAGATGTAGTATATAGTACTGGAGAGGCTTTCTTAAATTTTATGAGTTCAAAATCAATTCACCAAAAATGACATTTTTTTTTGCAAACAAAATTCAAACTGAATATAAAGGATTAGCTGTGAAGGAACATGTGTTCTTATAATCTGCCCCTCTTTTAGCTGGTACCTCGAGTATGTTAAGTCAGTAACTGTGGTTTGAATCTCCCATAGGTGAGCAGTGAAGATTTTGGACCAACCCCCCATGCCAGAGTCACAAAGTGTCCAACAGAGGAGCCTGCTTCTGCCTGGACCCAAGCCCCGCCACCAGTCCCTACCTCCTCAAAGGATGAGGAGGAGGAGGAGGAGGAAGAAGAAGGAGACAAAATAATGGCAGAACTACAGGTTTGTGGATGCAGTGGCTGACAATAGCTCCTCTGTCTATCAAGATGCATGCGACAGAGAGGGCTGCTCAAGTGTCCAGTGGACTGGAGGCATTTAAACTCCACTCCTCCAGGATAGACGCTGCACTCAGTTTTTTAAACATGTGAGGAATGAGCGTCTCACAAGACAACTCAGGGAAGTTTATTCTGCTAATCAAGTACAAGCTTTCTTAGCTCTCACTCACAGCTGTGGGGTCGGTTCTGACCCCTAGCCACCCTGTAGGACAGAGTAGAATTGCTCCATAGGTTTTCAAGATTGTAAATCTTTACAGGAGCAGACAGCCTCATCCTTTTCCTTCAGAGCAGTTGGTGGGTTTGAACCACCAACCTTGCAGTTAACAGCCCAACCCTTTGACACACTATATAACCAGGGATCCTGGAAGGATTTACTGTATTTTTCTCAGAATCCTTAGAAATGCTATTGAGGTGAGATTACAAATTCCAGTTAGTTTACCACTTTGATAAGGATGGATTTAAGCACACTTTTGGGGTCCTCTCCATTCTTTATCTTACTTAAAATGACTGGCCTCTCCTACACTACGTACTAGGTCCCCTTTTAGTGCCAATGTCTTTTCAAATAATTTTTAAAACTGTAATTAATTTTACTTCCCATTTTTTTGTCCTATTTGGAAAATTACCATTTTAGATGTTAACTGACATAATGATCCACTCTTATAATTAAGAGTAGGGTGCAGGTTTACAAAAAAAGATCATTACCGGATGATCCAGGCATCCTACTCCTAGATATAGACCCAAAAGAATTGAAAGCAGAGACTGGACCAGATACATGTGCACCAAAGTACCCCGGTCGCATTATTCATAGTAGCCAGTAGGTGGAGACAACCTAAGTGTCTATTAAGAGATGAAGAAGTAAACATGGTGTGATAGATCCATACAGCGGGCTGTTATATTAGCCAGCCACAAAGAGAAACGAAGTTCGAATGCACCCATGAATGGAGGAATACTGAAGACCTGTGGAGTGAAATACGCCAGACACAAAGTGGTAACTATTATATAATTCCATGTCTATGAAATGTCTTATGATAGGCAGACACAGAAAGTAGTTTAGCAATTACTAGTGGGCTAAGCACTGGACTTCTAACCAAAAGGTTGGTAATTCAAACCCCCAATTGCTCCTTGGAAACCCTATACAAGGTCACTATGAGTCAGAAGTTACTGCTTAACAATTTTTTTTACCCAAGTTCATCTCTCTCCATCTGTAAATTTATAATTAAGAGAATGGAGTCCAGGGGCCATAGCCAAAGCAGCTTCCACATTCTAATTATGGTTATATTCCAAGAACTTGCCTAATCACAGATCTATGCGTGGTTTTCAAAAAGTTTATAGAAAAAAATCCAACTTTTCATTCCATTTTTCTATGAACTGTTTGAAGCCCCTCGTGTCATATTTCACGTGAATGGGGTTACACGGTGTTTTGCACACCTCTGGCGTGTTAGTCTCCTATGCACACTATGTGCATCAGATGCATGCATTTTTTCATGGGTATGTTATATGTGAAAAATACAGTATGCACAATTTCTAGAACACAGTCTTTTTGTAGACTATTTCATTATGACCTATGCTTACTATATATATAGTTTTTCGACCAATCAAATGGACCACAGCCTTCAAAGGCGCCGAAGTATCTTACCTCTTCTCCAGTGTACTGATGGTATTGTACAGACCCATACATCTGCACTCCTCATGTGGAGTAGGAAGAACTTTAAAACCACATCATCTTCACTGCAGCGCTCTTACTCTGGTTTCCATGGTAACGATGCCAAAGTTGGCTGCTTGGAAATTACATTGATATTGTAATTGGATATTACAGTGGTGGTCTGTCAGTTATTAGCCAATGGAAGCCTCCCTAAAACAAATAGACAAGAATGGGCTATCCCTCAGACAATTAGATTGTGTACAGACTCTGAGAACGGTTGGAGTTGAACTCATAGGAACGTTCCCTAAATAGGATGTCTAAAGTTAATAGCTCATGAGACAGCTGAGCGCATGGGTTTGTCCGTCTCTCGGTCACCCATCCCATAGACGATCCTCTGGCCACTGATATTGGCTTGTCCAGGCTGTTTATAGATGGGGATTGATGCTTTCCTAAGATGTTTCTGGCAGATTCTGGGAACATATGCCGTAGTCTCTGTCCCCAAATTATAGAATTATGCTGTTAGTTATTAAGACCCTGTTTGGCTAAATTGAATGCCAAAAAACCACCTAGGGTGATATGTAGCTGAACTGGAGAACCACTGAATCCATTGGGTCTCTCCAGCGCTCATAATCGTATTGTCTGGTCACTTACCAGCTGCCCACTTTTCTTTTTGCCCTATAAACCGGAAACCAAACCGGTTGCTGTTGTAATGTGCCGTAGAGTCAGTTCCAACTCATAGCAACCCTGTACAGGGTTTCCGATGCTGTTGAGTGATTTCTAATTGATCGCAACCCCATGTGTCTCAGAATAGGACTGCTCCATAGGGTTTTCAATGGCTCTAAACTTTCAGAAGTAGACTTTCAAGGTGCTGTGGGTAAATTTGAACTGCCAACCTTTTAGTAGCCTAGCATGTAATCATTTATGCCCACCCAGGGACTCTTGCCCTATTGGCACAGCCTGTATTTTCTTGTGTGTCTTCCTGAGTCTGGGCACTGGAGTCCGTGTTCCCCTGGACTGGCTGGCCATTATCTCCTATAATGATCCTTAGTTTTTCAAGACCAGTCTACAAGTGCTCTGGCAGCTTCTCAGCTACACACAATCCCCCAGCTGCTAGGAACATGACTTCATTTCTTAAGATAAGCCTCCGAAAACATTGGTAGCCGTTAGTGTTCTATTCCAGAGACTGGATTGGTAAAGTCCACTTTTAATTAAGCCTTAAAGGTTTAAAATGTCTTGTGAGCTTTTTTCCTGTCATATCAATAAGACTGGTAAAAAGCAAAGAAAATAGTGTATAAAAGTGAATGGAAAGAGGACTTCTTGATCTGTTTTCATTTGCTGGCATTCAACATAAAAAAAAATGATAGCCGTACTAAGTGCCAACAGGTGCCCCCACCCTACCCTGGTTAGGCAGAGTGAGTGTTATTTTTGTGAGTGCCACACATTAAATGTTGGCATGGTGGAGGACAGTAAAGGAGCCTTTTCATTGTGCCTCATACCTTGTCACAGGCTGGCTTCGCAAACATAATGTGAAATGTGGGGCATGTTTTGAAAGTGCTGCCTCGCTGGCCTTATGCTGGTCTTGGGTCTTCATGCCTCTGGATTCTCTGCCTGTTTCCTTCTTTTCTCATCAGTAGCAGATGGATCCGTGTTAACCTCAGTATTTTAATTCCTTAGGCATTCCAGAAGTGTTCCTTTATGGATGTAAATTCAAACAGTCATGCAGAGCAGTTGCGGACTGACAGTCACATTAAAGACACTAGGCCCGGGGCCACAGTCCCTCCCAAGGACAAGAAGGTAACGTGGCTTCACACATTTGCCACACGCTCTTGACAGCCCTTCTTTCCTTGCTCCACACTAACACAGCTCTCCTGTGCTTGTCCTTCTGTGCCCTGGTTCTTTGTTTATTGCTCTTTTTCTTGATTTTTTAACTTTTAGGTTTATATCAGAGATACCTCAGGTTTCTAGAGTGAACGCTGTGTTCCTGGGCACAGCAAACAACAGTCCATGCAGAATTCAACTAGAGAGTATTTATTTCAAACACCTCTAACCAAATGAGTTGCCATCAAGTCAGCTCTGACTCTTGGCATGCGTGTCACAGTAGAACTATGCTCCATGGGGTTTGAAACCGCTGTTTTTTCAAAAAGGAGGTTGCCAGGCCATTCTTTGGTTCACAGCCAAGCACATTAGCTACTTGCACTACCAAGAATTCCCATTCACGATTTTTCTAGAGCAACAACAGCAACTAAATATGTAACATTTTTTTCCCTTATCTTTAACATGTCTTCTGGACCAAAAACGAACTATGTTTGAAATTAAGTGAAAGCTTTAGGTTCAGGAAAAGAAAATGCATGACAGAACCATAGATATGCCAACTTAAAACAAGTGTATCATTATGGAAACAGGCATCTATGTATTTGTTGTACATGTGTTTAAGGATGCCAAACAAAATTTTCTATCTAACATTACAAATTCTCAACATGCACCTATTAAGACTCATAGTGGAGTCGGTTCCGACTCATAGTGACCCTGCAAATCTTTACGGGAGCAGAAAGCCTCATCTTTTCCCCCCAGAACAGCTGGTAGTGTTGAACTGCTGACCTTGAGATTAGCAGCCCAACTCGTAACCACTATGCTACCAGTAGAAATACTCTTTGTTGCATTTTAATGGTTTCATAAAAAAGAGGATCAGACTCTAAAAGTTTATTGTCATTGCCTGAGTACTTTAACGAGAGGCCATTAGCTTGAATGTTAGAACTTCAAATTAAAGTTAGATCTAGAGCTTTTATGATTTGTGAATACAGAGCTATTTTATTTTATTGAGCCTCTGTCTAAATTTCAGGATAAAAAGCTTATAATAACCAGCTCAAATTGTGACTTTTTAAACAGGAACTTACGTCTCATGATGTAAACTAAGGCCAATCAAAGTCGTCTGTAATTATGACTAAGCGCAATGAGTTAGATACAGTAGCCTAACATCTGAGGGCAATACTCACATAACTCTTCCAACTCCTAGCCCCAAGGATCTGGCTTCTGCCAAGGAGGCCCAACCCATTCCAACTCACAGAGCCCACAGAGACCTTGTGTGGCACCTGCCATACAATGACATATAGGACTGTTACTGATACATCTTTCTCATAAAGAAAACCTCCTACCTGTTTAAGTGGAGTCCACAAAACCACATTGAGCATACAGAGATTGCCCCATGGAAGGGCCTGGTATCTCCTTGGTCCATGACATGCCCTATGCTAATGTGGCTATTTTTGCCTAAAACATTGACTAGAAACTTTGAACTTTTCATAGAGCCTTCCAAAACAATTGTCATTTCATTGTAGAACTTCCTAATTGACTGTAAAATTGCATGCAATTCCTTGCCCTGTGATTGATTAGAAATCCCTATTCCATTTATCTCAGTTAATAAGCAAGTCTTCATTGGGTGCCCAGTTCTGTCTATAATTAATCACGGATTCTTATACCCAGGGGATCAAGCTACTTCATCATAACCATAAGTATCAAACTTGTCCCCCAATTTTTGTCATTGTTAACCTCTTCCTGGACTATCCACCCAAGCATCCACAAATCAAGTATTTCCTTAAGCTTTTCTTCCCCTATCAGAAAGCACCAGCCTAGTACTTTACTTTTATGCAATCTTCCCATAACTACGTCTCCAATTACTAAATAGTTTATTGTCCATATGCACATTGAGTATCATTTGCTGGGTATCTAAACAATCCAGATCTCAGGGCCTATGAACAGAGAATAAAGGAGCATAATGACCTTTCACACAGATTCGTACCTGCTAAGACAATCAAAGAAATCATGATAGAATTATATAAAGATTGTGACCAAATTACACTTGATATTTATTCTTTCTTCTCATCTAATGATAAAAATAAGTCACATCAAACCTAAACTTGACCTTTGGATCTTAGTGACTATCTATTTATTGAAAGTTGAGTATGGCATTAGAAGAGATGCCAGCCCCATCCCCCAGGAATGGGATCAGCCATATATCACCCTTACATGTACCTTCTTTGCACTGCATGCCTTCTTTGATTCAACGAGTAAATTCTCACTCAAATGTGATATCCTAACCTTCATGTCTAGAGGTGAGACCATAGACTGAGCTCTCACTGGTTTTTCTTCTTATGACATCTTTTGAGAGGTACTAGTCATTTTGCAATTGAAATTTAAAACCCCTCAAAATAAATTAGCTTGTCTAACTTCAGCCAAATCATTGCATTTGTCTGGCGGCGGGGAGGGTTGTGGGTGCAAGGGGAAGTTGAACAGGGGGATTTTGGTGCTAATACACCTATCTTCTATGGTGTTTTCATGTGATTAACACTGATTTTGTTGTCTGTGTGTTATTCCTTGAGTATGTGTGAACGTTCTTTCCATTTTCAGCCAGGGCAGTAGTATTGCTGTGGGTTGACTTTGTCCAGATTGTTGTGCTTTGTTATGTTGTTACTGCTTTCACCAAATGTTCTTCGTTGGGTTGTTTTCCCACCCCTCCATGGGCTTCTACAGCAAGAAGAAAAAGCGGTAGTGCTTTGGAAGTGATAAGATGTGGTGAATGGATAGTCTGTGGTAGGGCTTGAAGTTATGAGTAACGCCTGTGCTTGGAAAGTTGTGTATTCTAGTGGAACACACTCAATACCTACACCCTTGCTGTTGGATCCTTATGTACTGAATCTTGGTGAGATGCCCCATAATGCGTCTTCACCTTTATCTGTTTCTTAAATGTGCTCAGATTCTATTTTGGCAGCATGATCATTAATTAGTTTGAAGTTTTTTGTTGTTTTTGACATTTTTACTTGTAAGTACAAAGTATAAGTTCATTTTAAATCTGTCCATCATTAGACCAAGACAAGATAATGTTGTTTTTCAAATTTTTGATTAGCACCCCCAACCAATACAAATGCCTTTAAAGGGCAATTCCTATAAAGGAAGTAGGGATAGAGCTGAAATAATTAGCTAAAAGGGACATTAAACATCTCCTGATCTAGTTCCTCAGTTTACAGACAGGAAGACTGAGACACAAAGTAACATGACAAAGGGACCGACCTGGATTCAGATTTGCCTGCCAACATATTGGGTATCTACCAGGCCCTCCATTCTTCCGGTTTTTGCTTCTGCTAAACTCACAATTAGATATTGAAAAGAGGATGTGTTAATTTAGAAATGGTTCCTTTAATCTCTTAACTATACTCCCCCACAAAATTTGAAAGCCTTTAAATATTTTGCTAATTGAGATTTTCATCTTGTACAAAACACAGGGCATTTTTGGAAGTTGGAGAACAAAGGCACCCAAGGTAAACAGAGCTGTAGGCTTTTGGACTGGTGTATAACCAATGTGCTTGGCCAGCATGGTTTGGAAGTGTAATTAAAAGAACAATTTAGTTTCTAGTCCACTCTGGGTGGGGGATGTGGTTTTGTGGAGTAACATGTCCTACACTATTCTACCAGAATTTGGAATTTTTCCATGAAGACGTACGGAAATCTGATGTTGAATATGAAAATGGCTCTCAAGTGGAATCCCGAAAGGTGAGTTTACCTAATCTGTGTTCCATCTAACACTGTATAGATTAATTACATTCCTTCATATTAATTACCATTTCTGACTAATATGTGTGATTTCCCTCCTCCACTCTCCCTCCCAGGTTACTGCAGGGACACTGAGACTTAGCGACCATCCTAAGGACAAGTGGGAAAGAGGAATGGAGAACAGTATCTCTGATGCCTCAAGAACATCAGAGTATAAAGCTGGCATTGTAATCAAGGAAAATTCTGTATCCAGTAAGAGTTTGCTTAGAGACAGTAGAGACTATTCCCAGAAAAATGTACCTGAAGTCGATTCCAATGTCTCTGGCTTTAGTTCCTTAGAGGATGAGTTAAGCAAAGGGCCTCAAGTCCCAGAATTGCAGAGCCTTACACCTGGCACTGAGAGTCAGAAAACGAGCTATGGAAAGATAAAGATGAATCAACCAGAAAACACACAGAGGTGTCACCTTCCCTCTCTCACTAGATCCACTGAATTGAGTATCCGCGATGTCAAAACACAAGATCAAGAAGATTCCATGACAGATTTTGGCCAAGTCATTCTAAGACCCAAGAGTGGTAGGCAAGCCAACCTGAACCCTCACGAGGAGGGAGAATCAGCATCAAGTTCTCCCACAGAAGAGAATGCAGCCAGTGACAACATAGCCTTTATGATTACCAAAAATGCTGTCCAGGTTCTGTCCAGTGGGGAGGTCCGTGAGATAGTGAGCAAACAGGGAGAAGACATACAGACAGTTAATATTGATGCTAAAAAAGAGCTGACCTCCCCACATGAAGGGATTGAAAATGAGGAGCCAGTCGTGTGTCTAGACAAGAAACCTGTTATCATCATTTTTGATGAGCCCATGGACATCCGGTCTGCCTATAAGAGACTCTCCACCATATTTGAGGAATGTGATGAGGAATTAGAGAGAATGATGACCGAGGAAAAGATAGAAGAGGAGGAAGAGGATGAAAATGGAGACCCTGTAGCACAGAGTAACCCTTCCCAAATGTTCACTAAGAAGGCTGTCTCACCTGGTCTTAGATCAGAGCAGCAGATGGAGAGTAAATTACAGCCACACTCCCTGCTGGCAGAAACCAAAAGACCAGAACAGGAAATTACTAAAACACAACTGAGTAAGCTCAGCCAAGCAGAGTCTCCAGATTCAGAGAGCAAGAATGACATGACGGATGACCAGTTTGAGAGTCCCAAGAAAAAGTTCAAATTCAAATTCCCTAAAAAGCAACTGGCTGCTCTCACTCAAGCCATCCGCACAGGAACCAAAACAGGAAAGAAGACGTTGCAGGTGGTGGTCTATGAAGAGGAAGAAGAAGACGGTACCTTGAAACAACACAAAGAAGCCAAGCGCTTTGAAATCAGCAGGTCTCAACCGGAGGATGCCTCCAAAACTATGACGAGGAAACAAGAACAACCCAGTCTAGAAAACACATGGCAGGCTTCAAGAACTGATGAAATTAGGAAAAACACCTACAAAACATTGGACAGTCTGGAGCAGACCATTAAACAGCTGGAAAATACCATCAGCGAAATGAGTCCCAAAGCCCTAGTTGATACCTCGTGTTCTTCCAACAGAGATTCTGTTGCAAGCTCATCACACATAGCTCGAGAAGCCTCTCCCCGATCCTTGCTAGCTCTGGATGAAGCTCCCACTGCCCTAGAATCCCCCACGTCAGTACCTTCAGCTCCACAAAAGGTATCTTGGTCTGATGGAAAATGACAAGACTCAGCTGCTTTCTTAAATCTGCCGTAATCACCATTAGCCCAAGGTGTCTCTGATTTACTTGCTTCCTTTCAGGTGGCTCGTGTGTTTTGTTTTGTTTTGTCTGTTAGCCACGGTCCCTCTCTCACACTTCCTTTTCCCCTTCAAAACAACTAGATGTCTAACCGCTAATCAAGTCTCTGTTGCTGATTGGTGTTGGGTAAACGCAAGGACTCTGGGGTCGGCCATGTGCTGTGTGAAACGATTGCTCTGGGGCTCACATTAAAATCCGTTTGATCAGTAGTGGAGCAGTTGATTCTGTTGGATACTTTGAATTAACCTCAGTGGTGTCTCCTGATGTCCGTCTGTCTCTCTCCTAGATCTGTCCTGCATGTAGGGCTATTGCTTCTCTTTCTGAGTTTCTCTGCACACAGCGGGACCAGCCGCAGGTTTCCTTCACTCATGCGCTGGTCTTCTTTTCTCCCTCTCGCTCTTCCTTCTCACAGGGCTCCAGTGGGCCCCCTCAGACGAGCAGGATGCCGGTGCCCATGAGTTCCAAGAGCAAACCTGGGAGCGTGGACAAGCTCAGCAAGCCATCCAAACTGCAGGATCCCCGCCAATATCGTCAGGTAGTTTTACCTTAAACCCAATTTTGGATGGACAGTCTTGCTCTTAAGAAGCAAGTTGCTGACTTAGTTTCTACCAAATACTATGTTTTCTTTGTCAAATATGATTGAAGTAGACATCCTGGATCTGGGGGAATGAAGAAAGTCTAAAGATCTTTGTGAATCTTTTCACCCATGCTTTTGCATGCTTGCAATAAAACATCTTTTACTTTGTGACTCCAAATGTTAGCTGTTAACACACGGTGCCAGCCCAGTTGACTTTTCTTTGGTGAATGTGTAGAGCACCTTGGGGAACATAGATAAACGAACCTGCTGTTGAACTGCCCTTAAAGTCACTGATACTAACGCATATCTTGACTGCATTGCATTAGAAGCACATTAACTCTCCATCACGGTAGCCCCCTGCCCCTCAATAATAATCCAGATGCATGGCCGACCTAGCACACGGTAAAGGTAGTTGGAATGACGTGACTATCCTCACAAATGCTCTTTTCCTTCTTTCCTCTTCTGTCTGTCCATCCTTTGATACATACTTTGGGGGTTTCTACCAGGTCCAGTACAGCACAAGACTTAGCTCAAATGTTGAACTGTATATCTATATATATATATATTTTTTCTTTTATTTAATCATTCTCAGAAGGGCTGTGTTGCCAGGCCCTGTGGATTGATGGATCATGTTACCAGCTTTCTGACAAACTGTCTCCCACCATCTTTATTTACAGGCTAATGGAAGTGCTAAGAAAGCTGGTGGGGGCTGTAAGCCTACTTCCCCCTCCTTACCTGCTTCTAAGATTCCAGCCCTTTCTCCCAGCTCTGGGAAAAGCAATTCTGTGCCCTCTAGTAGCGGTGACAACTCTAACCTCCCTAATGCAGCTGCTACTAAACCAGCGGTTACTTCTTCTAACCCTCTCAGCCCCCAAACAGGACGAGCTGCTCACTCCGCCTCCCTCATCCCTTCTGTCTCTAATGGCTCCTTAAAGTTTCAGAGCCCCCCTCATCCAGGTAAAGGTCACTATCTTTCCTTCTCACTGCAGACTCAAAATGGCCGAGCAGCCCCTCCTTCTTCCTCCTCCTCCTCCCCTCCCTCCCCCGCCTCCCCCAACCAAGGTGCCAAGAGCCCCAGGACCATCCACATTCCCAGCCTCACCAGCTACAAAGCACAGAACGGAAGTTCAAGCAAAGCCACCCCCTCCACAGCAAAGGAAACCTCTTAAAAGCCAAATCCGATTAGGCACAAGTTGGAGTTGTATTTTTTTAAAAAGTTAAGTCTTTTTAACAGTTAGCACCAGTGTCATATATTGCTGTATTGTCTGAGGCTTAATGCTAAGTATGTGCTAAATACCAGATTCATAGATTTCAGCACAGCCAGGTTGTTTTTTTTTTTTTTTGGCTTGGTTCAGGTTTTTGTTTTGTTTTTGAACTCTGTTGCTGTTGTAAAGACATGGTATTTACTGTCTATATTCAATACTGTTCAATGAAGCAAGCATGTGTTAGGATAAGAGTCTGGTGCAAAAGCAGGGTGTATGTGAAAGAGGAAAAAATGTCTTCAGCATGTAAAACATGTATGATTCCAGAATTTTAGTATGTTTTGTATAAAAATATTTTTCATTACAGAGACTAGAAGTGAACAGAGAGATACACAAGTGTGACTATATAAATTGTAAAGCAGAACTATAATATTTCCTTTTATTTTCATGTTATTTAGCTTTATTACAGATTTCTATTTTTGTCAAAGCATCATGGTTCCTTTTAAGATCTTTTTGCCAAAACATTTTTGATACTAATAGCATTGTAGATTTGAAAGTAGTGTGCGAGGCAAGAAGCCAATAAACTTCTAGACAAGCCAACAGGGAAATGTATGTAGAAGGCAATTTATCCAACCTATTCCACTGCCGTGGGAATTATGTGTAATAATTTCCTAGCCCAAACAAGCAAATTTTCTTTTTTACTTTTTTCTTCTTTTTTTTAAACATTTTTTGGAATCTCTCATGATTTTCTTTGCAGTCTCTAACCCCTTCTTGGTTTCGGAGACCTGGTAACCCACACTATTGCATTGTGGATTTTAAAATGTACACTTCTGTACGGTTCTGTAAAGTGATAACCTTTTGTAAATATATAAATATGAATAGACATCAAAATACTATATGTGACAGCACATAGAGTAGTTTTCCCACACCAAAGTTAATTTTTATGCATGCTTTAAAAATATATATTGGGATGGGCAGAAATGGAACTATCCATAAATTTTTAACAAGCAACAAGTTTGCACAGCTATATAGTGTTTTTGTAAATAAATGTATTTGTATAACACAGTCATGTAATATACGGAACTATAAGCAGAGACTTTGCAAATCTAAATAAAGGGCTGCATGCTTATTATTTTTTGTACCTTGTTACTATCAATACTTCCTAATCAAAGAACAAAGATACATAACTATTTCCAAGTTCAGTGTTTTGGGGCTTTTAAGGAGCTCTGGTAGCGTAATGGTTACGAATCGGGCTGCGAACCTTAAGGCCAGCAGTTCGAAACTACCAGCCGCTCCGCGGGAGAAAGATGAGGCGTTCTGCTCCCGTAAAGATTTACAGCCTCGGAAACCCTGTACAGGGTCACTATGGGTCAGAACCGACTCGAAGGCACTTAACAACAAGTACCATGTAAGCACACTCACTCAGACAAAAGTACTTTTCTGAAAGCTTTAAGGTGTAAATGCTCCACTTATGAGTTCCTGACAGAGTGAGCCCTGGGTGGTGGTGCCCTCATGGGGGAATGTGACCAGCTGTCTTCTCAGTGGTGTGACTAACACCAGAGTTTGGCTAATAAAAAGCTTAACTGGAGGGGTTGTGGCCCTCATTTTCTTTTACCCCAGGACCTCTCTCTTTTTTTCTGGATTTTTTTTTTTTAATGTTTTATTGTGAATTATGTGATCATTTACATGGGAGAGCATTAGCTTCATATTCATCCTATTGTATATAATTTCATTGCCATGGTTACAATCCCTTCCATGCATCATCAGACAACCAAAGGGTATACCCTGCAAGCCTGTGGTCCTCAGCACATTGCCCCTCTCCCTCTCTGGGTCTAGAGTCCCCAGCTGCTCCATCTCTCCACATCATAGTCTCTGCCTAGCTCTTTTTTTAAAATCTAATAGAAGTAAAGTAGAAATAAAATGCCTTTGTCACTAATTTTTTATGTGTGTTCTCAATTGTGAACAATATTGTTGGCATAGAGGGAAATCAGACACTGCATATTTTCTTTGAAAAATAAGGAGAAAACAGATTGAAAATAAAACCAAGATGATGAAATCAGTGAGCATAAAACTCTCAGGAACCTGCTTATCATTATTTTTTCCTTTCTAAATATTTAACTTGCTGGTTTTATGTAGAGTGCAAATACACTTAGCATTTAGAAACCCAGGTGTTCCTGTTCCCAAGCTTCCAGCTTGCTGAGCTTCCAGAAATGTTCCTATTGCACCTCTAATCACATGAGCCAGTCAGTAAACACTTGGAAAAATCTCTAGGGATAAAAGGTTCCAACATTTTCATCATGTTTCTTAATCTTATCAACAATTGTGTTGTGCTAAAAAGAATTAGAGTAGCTAGCTAATCCATGACAGTTTATTTGCTCCTGTTTATGAACAAACTGAGAAGTCTTTGCAAGCAGCTAAACAACCGTCAAAGGAATAATCTCCAAAGGCCCTCACACTTCATACACGAGGTGTGAATGTGGGGGTCCCAGAGCCACCCTCACTGCCTACAAATTCAGATGTCCTCACAGCTATTCGAGTTTGATAAATTTGCTAGATGACTCACAAAACTCAGCAAAGTGCTTATCTTACAAGAACAGTTTTATTATAGTGAAAGTATGCAAATGAGAAGCTAAGAGACAGGTGTAGGGAGAAGTTTGGGATTGGGAGGATTCCCAAAGCAAAGTGTGTGTGTCCTCAGGGAGGCGATACCCTCCCAGTGATATATGTGGCAGTGCATGCTTGCAATATTGCCAACTCAAGAAGCTCAGCCAAACTAGTGTCCAGAGTTTACATTGGGGTTTCATTGCATAGGCATGACTGATGGAACCATCACCCTCATGGTGGGACTCAGTCTCCTCTGAGGTGGAACTGATATCACATGGCTCAAAGCCCCAAACCTCTAATCACATGGTTGGTCTTTCTGGCATGACCAGAAAGTCATCTTCCTTAGCAATAAACTATCTGTGGGCAACAATGAGACATCTCAACGTTAACTATCAGGTGTGGTCCCACCAACAAAGACTCTATCACTTAAATTCCAAGAATTTAGAGGTTACTTTCCAAGAACTGGAGCCAAGACCTGGCCACATTTGTTACTGCACACAAAACCATGTAAGTAATAGTCAGTTTCAGCAAATGTAATGAAGGTATCCAAAGTGGCTCACCGCATAAGAGAAAACTCAGCATGAATGTATCCATTATACTGACCCAAGATCTAGTAAAGTTTTGCCTGCCCTCTTGTGGAAACAGGAACTGAATCCAGGTGTGCACTCACAGAACAGGGATCGCAGTCCCTTTAACATCTAAAATGGATGATGTCGGGTGAAGAGCTGCTGGATTTTCAGATTTCATTAAACTAGTAACAGATTAGATTCCTGCTGCATTGCCTTTTAAGCTCATCATTCAATAAATCGTATCTGGAAAAAAATCTTAAAAATAAATCATCTGAGGTCCTCAGAGGCATCCAACAATTCAATAATCAGCATTTGCTGAGACAGGGGCTGTGGTGGTGAATACCATTGTCAGCAGGCTTAGCTGCTGCTTGCTGGTTGTGCAACCTTGTGTGTGCCTCAATTTCCTCAAATGTTCACGGAGAATAACAATGGGGTGAGACTGCTGGTGGTTCAGTGAGAGAATCCTTGCTTTCCTTACAGGAAGACCCAGGTTTGATTCCCGACCAGTTCTCCTGTCACTGGAGGCCTGTGTGTTGTTAGCATGTGGAACAGACTTCAGTGGAGCTTCCAGTCTACTTCTAATGTTATTGTTAAGTACCGTTGAGTCGATTCTGACCCATAGCTACCCTTATAGGGTTTCTGAGAAGCAGCTGGTGAGGTTGAACCACCAACCTTGCAGTTCAAATGATTTTGCAGCCTGACGCATTAGCCCACAGCACCACACCAGGACTCCACTTCCAATAATAAGTCAATGAAAACCTTACAGATCACAATGGCTCAGTCCGAACAACATCATGAAACTGATCATGGGGAAGGTGCAGGACGGGGCAGCTTTGCTTCAGTTGTACAGCAGTTTCCATGAGTCTGGGAGCCGACTAATAGCAACTAGTAAGAATGCATAAGATCACCAGGAGGATTAAGTGAGATCTTTGTTAAAAATTCTGCAGGGAGAGCTAACACATAATTGAACACTCAGTATAGGTCTGCTAGGAGTGTTCTCATAGTTACAATAGTCAGTGAGACACTCTACCTGCCCTTGAGAGGTCTAGACTGCAGGAGCTCAGAGGAAATGTGGTTCCTAGTGTTTTCGGGAGTCAGTCATCTGGCCCTCACAGGCATCATGCTGAACTGTTCGCTGCATTACAGCCCTTAAAGAGTGGTTCTTGGGGGTTACAGCCACCGAAAACCAGGTAGGGTATGCTCCAGTGAGAAGGGAGGGGGATCTCACAAAGGAAGCACTCATATTACAACTCCAGAGCTCTGGATCTACCATAAGATCCAGGACGTCAGTTTCCCGCACTCACAAGTGGAAAAAAAAAATCACAATATTAAGGAAAATACGGGTGACTTAGGAATCTGGAGACTGGACTGCCTCGGTGAATAGCCTGCCCTGGCAGAGTTTAGAGGGCAGGGCTAAAGCCAGGCCAGCCCAGCGGCACTTTCAGCACACAAAAAAAGAGCCGTGGGAAACTACACATTTCTCCCTCTCTCTCTCCCTGTCCCAACTTCATTTCTCAGCCTGGACATCAGGCGGGGACAGTTTTCCCACTGTACATAGAGAGGGAGCTTGGCGGTGACTTATGACGTCACCCAAGGACCCAAAAGCTCCCCAGCTGAACCTCTCACACCAGTACAACTCAGAATAGGTTCCAATCACAAGCGACCTCTGCAGGGTACTGAGGCTGTGGGTCTGAGCGAGCAGGGGTGGGGTGCCTCGCCTTTCTCCCAGGTAGCAGCTTGGAATTTCCAGCTATTGTCCTTGCAATCCATGGCTGCTATGCTGCCCGAACTCCC